TTATTTCAGGTTTCAGGTAAGACTTGAACTTTTTGAGAGTACACTCCCAAAATCAATGAAAATGTGATGAAGTATGAGAACCGTGATAAGATAAACTATGTTTTTAACTTTTGATAGTTATTTATAATATCAAATTCACATTATTGCCCAATTAACGTGCTGAAAAGGTACAAGTGCATCGATCGCACGAAGTATTGCTCAAGTTGAGGACATTTGACGCACGGCGCTCGGATACGCGTTGCGAAGCGGTACAAAAGTGATCACGAATTTAGGTGAAAAATCACTACAGGTCGGTAAGTTATTCGGTAAATACTAGCAGGGCTCACGTTTTTCGAGTAACTTCTAATAGCAAACAATGAGATTACTTGTGAACTTGTTGTCGACCGTGTGTAGGTAGGTGTGTAGGTAATTGGAGTCCCGATTCATACCAGTCGGAGACTACATTTTTTTATAGAATAAGAGTAAGAATGGTGCACACAATACGCCCGATGGTAAGTGGATACTTTAATTAGTAGAGCAGAATATAATATAATATGTTCATTATTACCTCTATAATAGAAAGAACCAGCAAACACCCAGCAGAAGTTTTTTTGTTAATGTATAATACTGTGATAGACATGAGTTATATAGCTACAATAATAATAATAAAATAATTTTACGGGGATGATACCTATCTAGTATATAAACTAGAAAAGTAAGACGTTAAATTTGTACATAAATACAAAAATTCATATAGAAGAGAAAACCTGTTACATGAATATACGTAGAATAAATATGGACTGCCAATTAATACGCGGAAATTGATTGGCAGAATTAAGGTAATCTCATTCAATAAAACTACTTGCAAATGCCGGAATAACAAGCAAGCAAGCTTCAATCGACAATAATTATATATCGCGAACGATGTAAACTGTAACTTCGGCTAGAAAAGACGGTAGCACCGTATTAATCATTTAAGCGTATGAAAAGTGAAATTATGGACTTGGTACTGACTAATTTATTGCATATTTCGCCATGACACCCTTGCCTTGATATAAATAAATCATGAAGAAACGCGATATTCTCGCTACTACTGCCGGTGACACACTGTTCTAACGCTCGTATATAAAATTATTTTTATTAGGTATTATATAAAATTGAAGTGTCAAATGAACTTACAGTTGACCTGATAATTATTTCTTATATTTACGCGTATATTACACGTTGATGGTAGCTCAGATGGTTAGCGCTCGCTGTAAATTTCACAGTACGCGATCAAACCGGGTTCGATCCCCGCCGGCACCAATGAAATTGTTAATTGCAATTTTAAGTGCTGATTTACCACGTACTCGGTGATGAAGAAAAAAATCGTGAGGAAACCTGTATGTCTGAGAAATAAGAAAAAAAATTTCACAGACATGTGAAGTTCGCCAACATGCATTGGGGCGACGCGGCTGATAATTCCTTGCCCTAAATCCCTCTCCGAAATGAGCGCTGTGCCCAGGAGTGGGACGTATATAGGCCGTAACTTTAACTAACTTTAACACATTGAATACAACTATTTTTACGGATTTTAACGCGATAAAGACCGTAAAGATGGTTTTATTCAAAGTTAAACTGATGTTAAATGGCTGTACAAAGACAGCTGCAGCCAAGTTTAAACAAAGAAGGTTCGTCACCTTTGAGGACTTATATGAAATTATTTACAGACTATTATTATATTGGTTCTCAATTTCCTTCAGACAGAAGCACAGAAGTGCAAGCGACATAAGAAATAGGTAAGAGGATGGACCTATCCTGACGGACTTATAAGCAGAAAATGAGTCCAACCACCTTATAATTCAACTCTCACCCATCACAAACATATGACCGCAGCGTATTTTACGTAAGATAAAAATATTTAGTTGGGCCTTGTTTGTATTTAAACTTAATTAATTTTTCACGTATTTGAACAATAGAAATTCTAATTTCATGAAACTTTGCAGTTATTAAGAGTCGTCTTTAATTGAACCTAATTAGAAATTCGAAGGTGTTGGTGAATAAAAGAGTTCAAAGAATAAATTGGGTGACTTTAGTACCATTGATAATGTGATGGTCGAATAGGGTAAGGAAGACTACTTGGTTTATAATAGTGGTATACTAGCTTGCATATTATATTAGATGTAAAATACTCAGATCAGCGACGGGCAAGGCGAGGCATCTGGTATTGTAAGGCCAATCTATATTTCAGGAGCGGTGATTATAGTAAATTTGTTTTACTGTTGAAGAGTAAGTACTACGATAAACAAACTAACATGACAAGCAAAACTTTGAGCTTGCATTGAATCACGTTATAATTAGTTATATGAAGTTTTGACCGTTTATTTACAAAACTACTTATTAATTTTAAACACTGATTTTAAGTCTAAACAAAAAAATAGGCTGTCATAATATTATTAAATTAGATAAGTACATATATTTAAATTAAATTAGATATTTGCTGACCATCCGTGCGTAATCTACATCTCGTTCAAAATTCGCATGCAGGCCGCTCACTTCAATTGTGCAATTTCGCGATACAAATATTATGGAAATTTTAAATCTTCGCGTTTCCCACGTTGCGATCCCGGTTGCCTCACGTCTACATAATGTATGCGACACCATACGCGCCTTTATGCTCTCAGTTGTGCAAGTTTCGTAGGATACAATTATTGCGGTATTCGCGTCACGCTGTAATTGTTATAATAACAAGACTATATTTGGTTTGCTTTCGCTGGTCAAGTGGTCCTAAATGTGATTGTTGCTTCTCCGTCGCTAAAAATTGGGATCATAAATAATACATATAAACAATTTTTGGTTCAAACTTAAATGGGACCTCTCAGCCGTTTCCGAAAAATCGATAAACATACACAAAAACACACGCACCGCATACGGAGACTTCTTTTTTTGGAATGCGGTGGATAAGTTCTTTTCAAGTTTATTTACAAAAAAGCAAATTCAAGAAAAGTTGTTTAAGTAACAAAATAATATTAAATTAAATGACAATGTTTTTTTACAATTAATTATTGAACTTTTTGATAACCTAATTATTTATATATGCAAGTTAGAACAGACAACGAGTACACGGTCCACCTGATGGTTAGTGCTATGTCCCATAGATACCCTACGTCTATCAGCCAAGTGTTTAATACATAATCGTTTTCACTTTAAGTCACTTGTCACTTTAACTTCTTTACCATTGTGGCGGCCATATATAGGTACATACATATGGCGCCCAACAACCAAAGCCACGTTTTCAAAGTTTCCGAACACGGAGGTTTGGCCGCTATGTTGACTGAACATTTCGCCGTGCGGGATTCCTATTTCCTTCACCAAAACGGCCAAACCGGTAAAAAGTGTCTTTGTTCTATTTGTATATAACAACATGAGCTTACATGATTTTACGCTGGTATTTTATAATACGATGACGTGGGCCTTGCCAGAGCAAACCGTACCATTCATACTGCTTATAATTAAACTGTGGCATCACCACATGAAAGATGAGAATTATTGTGAAATACGTAGTAAATATTATGTTATTAATGGAGCGGTCATTATATTCATTTTAAATTTATTAATCTTTAATGAAAAGTAGTAAATCGATTATAATGACTAGTGCAGTAGCAATCGACACATCTATGATCGTTGTAACTGCAAGCCGAACAATAAATATCATTGTTAATATCCCATAGGAATCCTTATTTAATGCCGTTCAATAACCGCATAATAACGAATAATATGACGTTAAACCAATATGCTGTGAAAAATATGGCGAATAAAATCGTGAGAAGACAGAGCTGTTGCGGAAAATGCAATACACAATATTCCTGTTGGCTTAAATACCCTGTGAATAGCATTTCCGTTTCAAATCTGACGTTTTCAAAATATATATTTTATCGTGGATTGAGTAAAACTTCAATAATTTATACTTTATATTGTTATGACATATTTAAATCTGTGGTTTTAAATTATTAAGCTTCGAGGTAAAAAATAATAAAAAATACTTATACAATAGAAAAAGTATGTTACATTAACCAGTTCTGAAATGCACGCACTCCTGTTTGAATAAAAACGCATTTGCTTAAATTTAATTCAAGTCACATTGGTCAAAATTTCTAAGTGTACAACCATCTATTACATATACGAATAGGTTATTCAAGATATTAAGACCACCCTATCTGCCGACATTTGTACTGGCGGCTTAAGATTTAATTGCGTTAAAATTAAGACACTTATTGGCTGTAGTTAATTGTGATTGGTCGACAGTCTGCCGATGAAAGTTGTTAATTGACGTTGAAAAGTCGACCTTGCTGAATTACGTGTAAGAACTCAACAATTCCTTTATCAACTGCTGCTGTACTGTTCACTATTTTCAAGTTAGAAGTACAACTATGTTATTGCTAATTAAGAGCATGAGTTGTATAGATTTTTATGACTTCTGTGCTTTATTGCTTCGTAAGAAAGTAATACAGCGTTTTCCAACATAAACTACTCAATCGCTACTTGCGTTAATGATTTTATAGCTATACGATCTTTTTATATACCTTGATTACACATCCTTTATACAAAGTAAATTTCACAGTACGCGAGCAACCCGGGTCCGATTACTGTCGGCATTAATGATACCGTTTATTTAAAATTAGAAATGCTGATTTACCGAAAATATCGCGACAAAACTTGAATGCCTGGGGAATAAACTCTTACGTGGACATGAGAAGTGTGCCAATACCCACAGGATCAGCGCAGTGGAGAAATTGCTCTGCAACTCAGAAGAGAAGGTATGTCTGTGTCCAGCAGTTGGACTAACTGACTTTACAAACTTCTTATAACAACAAACCGGATTCAAATATGTATAAAGTTTAACATTAATATAAAATAGTAAATAGTTTTATAAATTACAACTTTCCAAACCAAAAGACGAAGTAGAATAATATGTAAATTTCAGACATAATGATCCAGTTTTTTCACGTTTTGACAATTATTATAAAATATGATAGACTTACCGACGCGTATTCAGCGCAGATATCGATGGAGTTGACAAAATCGTATACGTCATCCACCGACCACGCGGACAGTCGCGCTCGAGCTTCTGCGCACAAGCATTCTCCGCCACTTCGATCTGCCAGAAAAATGTAATTTATTATTCTTCAGCTTTTTTTCTTTTTCTGATTTAATGGTTTTACCAGCCAGTTCTACTTTTTTTTAATCATTTAAAGGCAAAAAAGGCTTCTATTTCTTATCTTCTAATTTTCGTTTTCATTAAATTATAAGGTGTCATTACAGCAGTGCCCACTTATGTATTATAAAATGGATGAATTGTAAGCTTGACTTAACCCAACCATTTACCTTATGGGACTGCGCTTAGCCTTGACTTTTGTTCAATATGTCAACGTTATGATGACTTAGTATTAAATATAATGCTAAAATGATGTTAACACGGCAATGCAATCTAACGATTATGTCACACATCAGTTCTTTATGCTTGTGAAGTTTGATTGAAGGCTTTTAAGTGGTATTAAGGAGTAGAATTAGATTTTTTATAATACGGACCATTCAGAAAGTTAAACTGTTGTCTATTGAATTAATAATTTCCAATTTTGAATTTGACAATTGTAGTTTTTTTTTAAATATTTATAATATTCACTTATGTCAATAAAAAGTTGAGGGATATTTTTATAACTTCAAAAGAACAAACGATCAATCCAATTAATGGTAAGTGTCTACTGCAGCCTTTTGTTATTTCTGCCCGTTGATTGTGAGGTTTGACACGGAATGACTAAAATTATTATACTGGATCACAATAACAAACGGTAAACAGCAATGGACGTACTGCAGTTTGTAGACAGGGATAAGTTAGGTGGTACCGAATCAAACGGTATTCAGACATCATTATATATTAAATATTAGACACAATATTATATATTAGACATAAAGGAACTCCTGCAATCAAGCAAAAATGTACGCGTGATGGTGATACTATTAATCTATATGTACAAATCGAACAATAAGACGTTGGATCTCCAAATTTTGCTGTCGGTATACCATTCACTTCGTCGTTTGTGAGGGTATAATTTGATTTCCATCTGATTGCAATGTGTGTATCGTCAAGGAAAGAGTAAACACGCTTCTTTGTTATGCTATTATCATATTATCAGCATATAATATATATTCGACGGATAAATACGAGTAATTCACTTAGCATATTATTAGATTTTTTACTTTCGCTCTAAGCTTGTAATAATAAATATAATTGACTTAAAATATACATAAAAAATATAAAAACACTCACGCCTGTCACCCAGAGGGGTAGGCAGAGACTACAGACTTCCATTTAGCACGATCCTGACATACCTTTCTCGCCTCTTCCACGTCCATATACCTACGCATACATGCTCGTCGGTTAAGGGTACTCTTAATTTGGCCCATTTTTAGTATATCGCCAATGTGGTCGACAAACTTCCGCATAGGACGTCCCTTTCCGACTCTTCCATTCACTTCTGCAACATATATTTGTTTTGTCAGTCTTTGCGCATTCATTCTTTCTACATGACCAAACCACCGAAGCATTCCTTTCTTAATCCTGGTCAACGCATCATCTTGCAAACCACACTCTTCTTTTATCACACAGTTTCTCACCCTGTCACTCAGATTCAGCCCTAACATACTCCTTAGCGACCGCATTTCTACTGCATTTATTCTACACTCGTGCTTCTTCTGCCACACTCAAATTTCACTACCATACGTTAAAGTAGGGACTAATACAGCACTGTGAAAATAATTAATTAAAATAATAAATTATATTTAATGCATTATAAATTGTAAAAGCTTATCTGTTTGGATCGGTTGTTACTTGAAAAATGGACATGCAGAATTTGTTATTAGCGATAAAAGTAAAAGGAGGAAGTTTTGGACATTTGAAACATGAAGGAATATTAAATTTCGAAACGCTATAAACTGCAGTACCCTTACATAGTTCGTAACTGGTATTTATTAATTAAGACATTAATATTCGTATTACCTTCATTAGAGACCCGGTCCCGATCGTCACCATCACTTCTGGTACTGGGACTGGCCGAAAGGCGAGCTCTCTTAGCGGCACTCTCGCTTGCTGCTGATAAGTCCAACGGGGAGTGTTCCGCTGTCGGACCAACTCCGACCCGTTTGCGCCTTGATCTCCCACTGCGTCCCACCCGTGATATCGCCAATAGTGTCTGATGAATAGTATTATCAATATATTATTTGATTACACTAATGACATATTTATATAATATTATGTGGCTAACTTAAATAAATTTTTGTTGGTAAGATAAAAAGATATGGTCAAGTGCATGGTATTTGCACTTGGCCGTGACCAAGTAGCAGTATTCCGTACTTTCAGGCTTCTGTCTAAATTATCAGATTGTTTTATTACTCTAGTAGAATTTTTATTTGTATAATTTAAGCTTATTTCACTATTTTTTATTCGTGTGTTACGAGTGTAAGGGAGACTCGAGAGACGACCTGGTAAGACATGTAAGAAGTCGATGGACGCAGGTAACTCATGTCCACATGTCCAAGCAAAATGTGGAAAATTATTACAACTAAGCATTTAACTGAGCAGCATCGGGAAGGAGATATCAGAACGCGTGTAAATAGTATAACATGTAACTAGTGAAGAACGGTGGTCACAAGCTTTTGAAGTACACGCGGTGGCATTAATACGATAAGATAACGGACAAGATGATAGTAATATTGCATCGTAATTTTAAACCGGTCCACATTATAAAATTCCGATCGTAGACCGTTTCTGGTGGACTCTAAAGTATATAAATCTTCCTGATTATTGAAAGTTGTACTATTTATAAAAAGTTTACCTTTTTGGTTGGGGATGCAACACAATTCTACACTTATGGTCAACTCAATACGCTACCCAGTTTTAAGATGTTGTTAAGTCTCGTGGTGTCACAGTCACCTTGACTTAAAGCGATAAAGACGGCACAAGACATAACGGCATCATAAAATTGATTAGCATTTGATTATTTGGGCATTAGTGTTGTCTGTTTTTCGAATATTAAAAAGCCAAGTTGCAGCTTTATTATGGCTGTAGCGCGAGTTGGTCGGATCGACCGGGGAAAAACCTCTCACAGAATACCAACGTAAAATGGCGGCCTAATGCTGATGTGTTTTGTATGGTGAGTGTAGAGAACCGGAAACAATTTATACTAGAAACGAGGTACTCCTTAGTCATCACGGGCGACAGTGTATCTGCATTTTGATTCTTAATCGGGAATAAATGTATATGTCTATGGGCCTCAGCATTCGCTTATGACCAGATGGACAATGTGCTCGTCTGTTACCCATAATCTTAAAAAATCACGCTTGACGTTGTCACTTCAGAGGATTGAAATGGAATGTCTCACAACCTGTACTTATACTGCCTCTCGTATACTTCAGACCGGAATATAGCATTACACGCAATGCTACTTAGCTGAAAAAATTAGTAAGAAAGTGGTATCTAACTAGACGAACTTCTAGATAGAAAAATAGTCCTATCACTAGTTTTTATAGAAACTCAAAAAGTATAAGGTAGCTTTTTGTCTGTAAATATAAGAAAAAACAAATATATTTACGTTATTTGTTCGGCAAGGCAAAGCAAGAATACATCTTGGCAGGAAACCATTTTAAAAGTATATTATGTGCGTGTATTTATAATAAAAAATAAAAATATAAATTTCTTTGCAGCTTTCCGCTAAACAACAAACGTGTTTAGCGGAAAGTTGCAAAGAAATTTATATTTTTATTTTTTATTATAATGGATTTCCGCAAAGTAACGCCTGATTCTATCAATTATGCGTGTATTTATTCGTTACCAGCTGTTTGTGGAATTTATTATGATTGAATATCATGAGTATTAATTTTTTTTTTGGTGCCGTGGTGGCTCGGATAGATAACGCTCACTGTAAATTTTACAGTACGCGAGCAAACCGGGTTCGATTCCCGCCGGCACCAATGATATTGTTGCAATTTTAAGTGCTGATTTACCACGTCCTCAGCGGTGAAGCCAAAATGGTGAGGTGTATGTATGAGAAATAGCTGAGAGTGAAGACATGTGAAGTTCGCCAACACGCATTGGGACAGGGCGGCGGACAATTCATAGCCCTAAGACCCATGAAATGAGCGGAGGCTTGTGCCTAGGAGTGGGACGTATTTAGGCTGTAACGTAACTTTTTTTTTGCGCGGAACACTTATTAATTTTCTAAAATTAAAGTAGCCAAAGTTACTTCTTATAACATCAGCTATCTGTCAGTGAAAGTCCCATTGAAATCAGTCCAGCCGTTTCGGAGATTATTCGGAACAAAGAGACAGATAGACAAATAAAAATTTTTAAAATTTTTTTGCTATAAGTAAAATATACATTTTCATATGACTTTATTACAGAGCTATTATTTTGTCATTGCAAGCAGATACTGCAATTTTATTTATTTGTATAGATATAGATATGGGCAGTCAGAATATTCATAACAGAAACCTTTTTAAACTTCTTAAGCGTGAAGGAAACTGCCTTTCAATTGCTGCCTACGAGTTTCTATTTCATTAACTGGTGAATCGTTACTTATGATCCCCTTGGCACGTTATTCCAGTGTTATTCTATTGCGCTTACAATAGCCGAGGCGCGGTGATTCGACCTGTGACGTTTCGAAACTCAATTACTCAGTAGCCGGCCAAGTGGTGTGGAGTGGTAGCTCTAAACAAACACGTACAGAGACGCGTTATCTGATTGAGAGCATTCGTAAGTGGCCAGCATTCATCATAATAACGTTCAGCCGACACGCTCGCCGCCCGCGGGTCAAATCGCAATCTATCTTTTTTAATTGCCGAGCGCACTAAAAAAGGCGAACGCGGTCTAATTTCGAGTAAAATTCAGACAGAGGCGCGCGCGCGTGAAATGAACACGGATGCGCGCGCGTGCGCCGCCCCGACCGCGCCTACACCGAAGCAGAGGTGCCGCCATTAATCTTAGAATTTATTTCCGCATCGCTCCCGTTTCACTTTACAGGTGAAAATAAATTTCAAACGGCTATTTATAGACTGAACAAGGGCAAAGGAGAAATGTAACAAATCATGTTTATATTGCACTCGGATACGATCGAATTTAGAAAGTCAATAGCGAATGCGTTTACTAGCATTATCAAGGGAATAATGGAATGTTAGAGTGGTATTGTTGATTGTTGATACAGGTACTACGCCCCGAGCAATTGCGATCTTTGAAAATCAGATAACCATCGCCTTGATTTCATCTTGGGGCGATTTACGTAGAAAGTTGAAAACCAATAAGTGTTAAAACTTCTACGGTGTAAGTTTTAATGTCTGCAAAAAGTGAGTCATTAAGTCGGACGATGATGCTTCTTTAATTTCACATCCCATCACTAGCGTGTCGCGGGGCGCATGCTCGGCGCGTGCCTCTGCCAATTAGTGCAGCTCCAGTTCATTCTACAGTGAAGAGTTGAAACGGTTCGCTGGGCAACGTCTGAGGCAGTCTTACACTATAATAATATAATCCTCCTGATTGTGTGCGCGCGCCAACGGTAAAGGCCGCCTTCCAATTAACACACTCTCCGTTTTATCTGCACAATAGTGGAGGAAGTGTAAAGGTCGTAGGCTTTATCAGATTTAATTGTGTTCATTACAGTTGGAAAGGAAGCACGGTGCTCATTGCGCGTTATGATTTTAAAGAGGTTGGAATTAACATAACGAAGCGCGGTCAGCGGCGATGCCCGTGCGATAGCGCCTTATGAATTTTACGATGCTCCGACATTTTAATCACAGCCGTGAACTATGAAATGGCGCACTGACGTGTAATTAAAACAGGAAGGTCAGTAAGCACTTGTATAAATAATTAATATGAATTTTAAAGACGTTCTTATGAAATGAAAAAGCAGCTGAGCGTAAATAATTTCATAGGGGCATTGTTGTTGCTTTAAGTGATGTGAATTATGAAGCGATGAACGGAAATCATAAAGTAATTTTATTACATTTCTTATACGCGGTTTTCGTACTTTTAACACGAATGATAAATATGAAACATTACCCCAAATATTCTTTACATGTATTATAAGCGCGGGTATCTGATTTGAAAAATATAAAAATCGAAAACAAAAGTTACGGACCAAAATATTAAATATAAACGTGATAAATGTTCAGCATTAATTTTTTGTAATAATTTGTATAAAAGAATAAAAAAGGAAGGGATAATCTGGAATAAAATTCAAGACTATTTTTTATTAATTTTGACATATTAAATGATGTTTGTTACTGATTTGATGGTGTACATGTTTACTTGGATGGAAGGATGTTGACAAATGAATGAGCACACAGTACACCTGATGGTAAGTGGATTCCAATAGACACCTACATCTATCCTCCATAAAGAATCAAACCGTAGTTGCGTTGGCACGTCTGAGGACTAAGTTATAATACTAAGTTGCCAGAAAAAAGGTTCTCCGGGTCTTTATACTCATTATACCAAATACTCGTATAGCAGAAATAAGCTGCCATTTTACGCTGATATTCTATGAGAACGTGGTCCTACCCCCGTCACGCTGATCTATTCCTGCTTCATTCACAATATAGCTGCAGAGTGGCCCTACCACATACAACTTAACTCCTAACTTTATGCAACCATGTGCAATAAGAATTTAACGACTTCAAAAATAACAATATGTCAAATGTGCACAGAGACGTAGAAGAAATCAATTGATGTATATAATCCAGTGACTTATATTGAAGAATGGTTCAGTAAGACTTGGCATTACGTATTCTTTTGTCATGAGGTAAAATAAAACTGTTCGTCAATGCTTTCGACAGAGACACGTAGAGTTTAAGTTTCCTCTTCCTGTTACGAAACCTCGTTAGTAATATTTACTTATTTAAAATTATTGTGATGATAACATCAAGACTTTATAATAATCAACACTGTCTTTAATTAAAGTGAAATATATAAGTAGTGCTTAGCACTTTAAATTACACGGTACGATACGATACAATCTGGGTTCAATCCCCGCTGCAATCAATGAAATAGTTAATTACAAATATAAGTACTGGATTTAGTTATTTACTACGCACTAACTGTGAAAGAAAACATCGTAAAGAAACCTGGATATTTGAGAAATAAAATATGTCGATGACATGTAAAATTGCTCAAGATTTACTTCAAGTTCACGGTGGACTTATCGCTCCATCACCGTCTAAGAAATAGGTGCAGGAACTGGTGTAAGTAAGTGGTACGTACACAAGTTGTTATACTTTTTACTAAACTCTTATTAATTATTAATAAACTCTCCTTTTTTATAGAAAATGATGGTAAGTGAGTATGCCCATGAATAACTGCATCACCAGGGGAATTGCAGATGCGTTGCCTGCCTTTTAATATAGTGTAGTTTTTTTTTTGTTGAAGGACCCTAACTCGTATAGGTCCGAGAAATTGCTTGTGATAGTAGATTCCACTAGGAAGTTGTGCGAGGTAAAAAATTCCTATTAAGTCGCACAGTGGACCACTTTTATTTAAGTACACTTTTCTAACAAATATTTAATATTAATTAAATGCTTTAAAATAACCTACATATTATTTTCTTATATACATATAAACTTCTTTTCCATCTAAAAAGATCCATAAAACTCCGCAGCTGGACATCGGTGTGATGATATCAAAACACGTGAGTGTGAATAGCGAAGGGAAAAAAAAGTTTATTAAGATACAAGGGATAAGAGAGCATTCTAGCAAAGGCATATATTAGCAGCTACTTAAGCTTAGTACGAAAATGTGAAACGAGATGATATTTGAGTAAACTAAATATAAATCTTATACAAAAATGTTGAAGTCGCTCAAGCTTATTATAACAAGTAGTAAAAATACTACTCAATCATTTAATTTAATTTTTAAATCATTTAATTTAAGGGGAATATTAGTAATGTTTATAGCATTGTTAATATTCTTTTTAAAAAAGGAATAAAAAATTGTGATGATAACATAATTAGAACTCTATTTCAACTTGAAGTTGACGTTAGAGACGACTTATTAAATGCTCGAATACCCATATGTTTTAATGTTATCAGAACAACAAACGAAATAACCTTTAACCTTGATAAGTGGTAATTGCAGACCATCAACCACTTGAAACTTACTTCCAACAAAGAGTGCCCCATATGCGTTATCACCCCTGACTAAAATGCCAAACGGTTTTATGTGGTAGAGCCATACTGCAGGCATATTAGTAGCTATACTACTTAGCTGTAGAACGAATGGGTCGGCTCGACCGCAGAAGGACCACGCTCTCACAGAATACCAGCGTAATACAGCTCAACGCTGCTATGTTTCGTATGGTGAGTGTAGAGAAACGGAGACTCTTTTAATTGGGAATTAGGCATTCCATCTTAGTTCTTATGGGTGACAATGCATCTGCATTTTGATTCTTAATCGAGGGTAGATGTAGATGTCTATGAGCCACAGCAACCACTTACCGTCAGGTGAACTGTGTGCTCGCTTGTCACCTTTATACTCACAATCAGTTATTGTATCAGCTCTCTTGTAAGATATATCTTAAGCCCTCTTATGGTACGGATGACATATTATACATTTTGAACAAATTAAATAAATTTCTTTACTACGAAATTCAACTTACCTTAGTTGAGCTCATATCCAACATGGGGGGGAAGGCTGGCAGTCTCATAGGCCCACCTTGTTGCGTGGTCAGCTTATTGAAAAGTCCTCCCAGTGGCACTTCTGCAGCGTCTGTTTGCACAGGTGATGGAGGCGCAGCACGTGGCTCCACACCGAAACCATTCATCCGATGAAAGTAACTACAACAATAATTTTGTACATTTTATTAATAATACTGTTGTAAATTGCACAGTACGCGAGCTACAAGGGATTTATCTCCACCGGCCAGTGGCGTCTTTAAGTTCAAAGTCGCCCTGTGCTATTTAAATTAGCCGCCTTATTGGCCTTGGCTATTTCAATTATATTTACATATATTATTTATTAAATAATCAAAAAACATCGAAACACGATTCATTCAGTTAAATAATGGGGTTTACTATAGACGTCCGGTACTTGATTTTAATAATGTTTTTAGTTCAGGAGGCTTGTTAGTGTTAAGCGTGAACCTATCACATGGTTTTTAGATGTCGGAAATGCGTTTTGAATTAATTACGATAAAAATAAATTTCACTAAAAATCGCATATTACGAAACGTAAATATATCAATTTGTTTTTTTTAACGCTGATACGAGTACACTCGTAAAAAAGTTAATCAATCGGACCAAGACAATCCATTTGTGACTAAAGGCGGGATGATATACAAAAAGTTTAATCGCAATGAAGAGCAGTCAAGAGGTTTTTCAGAAAAAAATATAACAATTCACATTACATCGCTTCATTTACCACTATCGTAGCAGAGTTTAGGGCATCCTGATTTCATAGATAAAATTATTCAAATCTGTTCTAAAACCAAATCATCACGCCCCAACTCCACGTAGTCTTGTCTACCCCACCCTAGAGTGTTTTTGTAACGACGTAGGCGCGGAGGTGAGCATGGGGTGCCTGCGAATTACTACGCAAGGGCGAAGGGGCTTCACTTCCGATACCGATAACAATACAATAAATTCAAGACAATGACGTAGTATTCTCACTGGGATCATCAAAGTTTCACATCACAAAATTAATGTTACTAAGTTTTTTCAAACTTTAATATCACTACAGACATGTTTGCTTAACAACTTATTATGGTAGCCGCAGCCTTTTTGCTATTTATATGTGGTCCGGATCCCAATTTCCTGTTCAATATTTAATTTTTCCTGCGTGAACTTCCTGTGCGGCCGATCTGTTGGTAAGTTCTCGTGAGACAGACAAAATATTGTCTACTATTACTCAATTATGGAATTGGATAAAATACAATTATATAACGTGCTCGCGAAGGAAATTATCGTAAGGATATCTAAGAAATAAATGTATTTCGAAAAGATGTGAAGTCCGCCAACTTGCTCGTGGTACAGTTGCTACATAACTCATTAAGGCCTTAGCACAAAAGTATTTTGTATGTAGGTTGCAATTTAATTTTACTTAAGGCTGATTTTACAACAATCAGATACAATTTATTAATAGGATAAAATACTACATTAACAAATTGAAAATTATAATTGTATTAATACAGTAGTTTAACTGTTTCACCTTTAAATTCAGCCACCTTATAACTTTGTCGATGAATAAATTTTATTTGATGATTGAGCCTTATTTACTTTTTAATGTTCGATTTAATTTTTGTATATTTTGACCCTTACTTTTTGATTTATATTCATGTTATATGCAGAAGTCCAGAAAATATTGCTTTATTATACATTTATATTCACGTAGCAAAATTACTTCAGAAAGGCTTAATTCTAAATATGAACTTATAATGGTTTCATAATCATCGATACGCGATTCGCGTAATAATGATGATAATTTGCTATAAAATTAAAACCAATAAACTAATGTAACCATCTAAGACATAGGCTCCCACCCTTTCAAATTTGTATTAAAATATACCACAACATTCTTTTACTTTTTCTATTTATTTTTTTATAGAAGAGGGGGCAAACGCGCATACGGCTCACCTAATGGTAAGTGACTACCGCCGCCCATGAATGACCGCAACACCAGGAGAATTGCAGATGCGTTGCCGGCCTTTTAGTAAGTAAAGGAGTAAGCTCTTTTCTTGAAGGTCGACGATTTTTGACTTTGGGATTTGACGATTATTTTATATATAATTATTTGTGTGTCGTGTACCACTCATAAAGTATTTAGTAATTGTACGACAATAAAGTATATTCACGTAGTGGATAGTTGTAGTTAAATAATCATCCTTTTAATAGTATTATAGTATATTTTAAAATAAGTTCGAAAAATCTTATTTCACTGAATTTAAAATCGACAACGTTTTAAGGCTAAGTACCAAAAATAATATTATTTTACTTATGACCATGCGAACCGGCTTCATCTGGATCAGATCCATTAATGTGGCGCCATTTAAGATAATTATGAGAGACTACGTTATTTTATAATTTATTTAAATTCACAAAATATCACTAAGTAATTTTATATATATTGGCCGTGTTACGATATACACTGCAAGCACAGCTTAGTGTTCTCAGTGGAGAAAAATTCGTTCCGTTATGGACTGCCAGTACTGCCGCTGTACCCTCGGCAAATATATGACGTCATAAATCGCCGTCATTTTCATACTGTTAGCAATGGCGCTTGCGAGATAAGCTGCTCTCCGTACTATGATCACGTGATCAAAATAGATAACAGCGCCTAGAGATTTAACAGGTTCCGCGAAATATTGCCTTTATTATTAATTAAAATTGTTATTTAAATAGACTCGAACATTAACTTTTAAAAGCAACAACATTCAAATATTAATATTTCTTTTTGAACAGAAAACGTGTAAATGATAAATATTTTCATTTGAAAACAGTGTCGAAGAATGGGGATGACAGTATACTAGACTGCGTTTCGTTTTAAACAGTAACCAGTTTAGCAAACTAAAAAGGAACGGCTTCACAGTAGCCGAATTGACGTTACACTTTACAGTGGTCACGGTGTATATCGGAACACACCCATTATAGCATAGATCGCGCCTAGTATTACTCTGTATCTGTCCGTGGAGTTTCAACATAATTGGTTCAGCAATTCCAAAGAGTATCTCGGACAGACCAAAATTTAAAATTGTTTGATTATGCAATTAAGGTACGCAAATGACCCCTTGAGCTCAATAAGAGAGTTTTTCGATATTATATCTATACATATATGTATGTATAAAAAATAAAGTTACATCCTATGTACGTCCCACTGCTGAGCACAGGCCTCCCCCCATTTCTGAGAGGGTTTTAGGACAAGCAAATGCCCGCCGCATGTCGCATGGCGAACTTCACATGTCTTCGAAATATTTTTTTTTCTTATTCCTAAGACATGCAGGTTTCATTTCAGACTAAACAAACAATTTCATTGGTGACGGCGGGGATCGAACCCGGGTTACTCGCATTCTGTTATATTTACAGCGAGCGTTAACCATCTGAGCCACCACGGCTCGTATATGAATGTAATAACCTATAGATATAAATGTAATAGTAATGTCGACTATCCAATTTAATAGTAAATAACAGTTCCGCTTCAAGGGCGTAAATTTTTATCTATTATATCTAAGTATGTAAAGTGTAGAATTTGTGTCGAACAATGAATTTAATAGTCGACCTTTGTACGCTTTTGCTGTTGTTTCATGAATAATGGGCCGCTTATCGAGATAATTAAACCATGTATAATCGAGTGAAATAGGGCCTACCGGTGTAGTAGCTTTGTAAATGTCAAAAGGTTAGGTTAGAAATCGATTCGAGATAACTATTAAATTCCGGTAATATAATTCTTGCAATAAACAACATTTATTATTTTAATAAAGGTAATAATTTTAGCATGGTTTAATTTTCAGCAACGGAAACGCTTCGTCTGCATGACAGACATATCCGCAGATTTCTTTTCATAATCTAGTAAATATGAAATTTTTCATTAAAAACAGCAATTAAATTTTTCTAGTTATAGTATATCTAGTTTAAAGGTCTACTTTAAAAGAAGGACCCTTTTACAGAATATTATATATGCGAGTTACGTGATTTCGATATCCCGAACCATTTGATTCAATTGCTCCAATGATACTGTTAAGTGCAAATTTGAGATCCTTCAATATCGTAAATAGGAAAAATGCATGTCAGAAGAATTTTGTAATATGGGAACATGTGCATAATGACAATCTCTAGTAGATGAACCAGAGTGGTGGATTCCCCGAAGCTCTGTCAGAAATGAGAGGGGAACTGTGCTTTTAAGCGTCTGTGAATCGTTATATCTTATATTTTTATATATTTACCAATGAACTGCAGTTAATAATATTAGCTTACAATATATCGTCCAATTTTTGTACGATGTCAACCATCATTTATTTAGGCCTATAATTATGTCCACTGCTGAATATATCCTCTTTCAAATGTTTATTATGTACATATAAATATATATTACTTAATAGAAGGATTTTGCCATAGTTTTATTAACATTCAGGATAATAAACTCTTAGTAATTACATAGCAAATAAATGCTATGATTGGGAAGTGAGTTGAATAAGATGCCGCTTAGGTATATCCTGTGTCGATTTTCTCTGCTATATTACAGTAACTTTTTGTGCCCATATCCAAATGCTAACAAATCTCAATTTTTGTAACAAGGTACTTAACACAGATTAATTTAAAGGATCGCTTGCATAACTCATTTTCCAGGGAACAATTTTCTTAAATTTGTATTTTAATTTATTTATTACTTCACGATGTAAAAATATCCTCAAATTTGTATTTTATTATTATAATGGTCGTTATTGTAAATATGAAATTTGAAAGTAATAGCTGTTTTCAATGCTATAGGTAGTTTAATACTAGCGGGCTATGTTATTGTTTCGACATATCGTATAGGTGTGGTTGTAGCGGTCTGTAATTAAATGTTATTATTTATAGTAATTAGACTAAATGAACTTAAAGTTGTTACTTTTCGCCAAGGTCCGCGTGTATCAATAAACATGTTGCAAATGATAACTTTCAATCGCTTAATGACTTCATTTCGTATTTTATTATTCCTGTAATCAATACGTCTTAATCGATATTACGAGTAAATGTGAATTCTCGAAGTCGAATGCAATTAGTTGCATACAGGTCTATTTAATTTGACGCATTTAATTAGTGAATGCATTAGATACGTTAAGCTTTGAGCTGTGGTAGGCACTCACTGTAAATAATCACTAATGAAATTATTGATTGCAATTTTAAGTGCTGATTTAACTGGGGAAGGTGAAGGAAAACATTGTAGGAAAAACTTACTCTATAAAATAAAAATAAAATATCACGTAGACATTTGAAGTTCGTAAACATGCATTAGGGCAGTGCGGCAGACATTTCCATGCCCTACTTTCAGTGCCCAGGTTTATGTGCTATAACTAAAAAGTTACAGCCTATATACGTCCCACAGCTGGGCACAGGGCTTTTCTCACTTCTGAGAGGGTTTTAGGGCCAATAAGTGTATCTTTGTTTTTGTTGTGACTTCACGTGTCTTCGAAATATTTTTTTGTACAGTAACTATAGTACACTATAATGTTACAGTGGTATATTTTCTTTGTAGTTCTGTTATTAAATCCAAACTAGTTAAATCTACTCGGCACACATTTCGGACACTGTTAAAGAATACAATATTACATTCTTTAAATATTAAGAGAATGGGTTTCCATTCTATATTACTTTATTTAAAGAAAGAGGGCAGTACTAGCTTAGCAGTTTGCGACTTTGCGTAGTCGTATTGCAGTTTTAGATCTAAAATTTTCATTCAAGTTTATTGAATAGACAATGTTAGCTTAAGTGGAAAAAAAATTATAGTTATATGTGATCATCAGTGTAGTTATCAGTCATTCTTTAAGGCAAGCAGTCAAGAAGTAAGAGCTGATGGAAGAGGTAAAACCTAGTCAAGGTAGTCGTTTTTTTTTAGATTTTTAAGTATTGAAGCCATGCTGCTGTAGTATCGTGGTTATAGCACGAATGGGTTCACACGACCGGGGAAGGACGACCCCCTTACAGAACATCAGTGTAAAATAACACCTTAGACCTTAAAATACCACCTAATGTAATTTAGAGAACCGGAGACACTTTTTACTGGAAACGAGGCATTTCATCTTCAAGGGTGATTGATCTTATTTTGATTCTTTATCGAGGATAGATATAGATGACTATAGGATACAGCATCTACTTACCAGCAGGTGGACTGTGTTTCTCGCCCATATTATATAAAAAGATAAAAGACAAATTCAAAATGTAGATATAAAATTAAAGTGCAGCAGTGTCGCATCAAACCCCGGGAGCACGGTTATTAAAATTGTCAGAGGTCACCGACCGCAGTATCAGAGATGAGCAATTCATTAATATAACATAAGTTCACGCGGAGTATATCGGTTCTCACGGGTCATGTAAATTTGTCGACTAAACGTAAGTTATCGAATCGATTAATATGCAAATTGGTATGGGCATCACTAGGCGGTCGCTGAACCGCGGCTCGTATGTTATTGTGAATGCGGTGACACGCCGCGTGTGAAAAACGTATGCTGACACGCGGGTAACAAAAAGGAAATTTAAAAGACCAAAATTGAAAGCGACTTTCCTCTCACCAAACGATACAAAGCAGCATCAAGTTGCTATTTTACGCTGGTATTGTCTGAGAACGTTGCCCTGCCTAGGTCGCGCCAAACCATTTCTGCTACAATCATAATATGTATATCTGTAGCATAACTCTACCACGTAAAACTTTATTCTGAGCATTCTTAGAAGACTACTCTACCATTGAGTGATAAATGTTTTCACAAACGTTTATATCTTATAGCGTAACATTTTATTTAAAACTAAAACGTCATATTCGCAAGTTACACATTGGAATTTTCATCTGTATCAAGAAGGCGTTTTACATATGAGAAACAATTACACCACGAACAATTATTTATAGGCCATAAAAATACTTGTTCCGTACGGGATTCAAACTCGCGGCCCTGCAGCGCTGCAACTAAATGCTTAGCCACATTGCCGAACCGATATTTATCCATAGACCTTGGTTGGTTGATTACCGCATGTAGAAGAAGTTAGTATTTCAAATGACTAAACTAAAAGTCATCTCAGTATAATTTAGAACACAAAATTGGACTTATTAAGAAGTGTTATAATACATTTTGTAAACACTAGGAACCAACTGAAGCTACAGCTACAGAACCAGTATAAAAACTGTAAAAATAGATTCTCAAAACATTACACAGAATTATGCAACATGTAATTTTTATTGTTAAATTTACTTTTAATTTTATGAGGAACAGTCATTATGTTTGCATTAGTTAATTTTCTGTTAAGTAATACAATCTAGCGTTACTTCGCGGAAATTCATTATATTAAAGACGCGGATATTAGTACGTTAGTTTTTAAAATTTTAATTTCTGTTATTATTTATGTTTATATTTTGGGGATGACATAGACACTGTGAACAGAACTTCTTTTTTGAATAAAAAAATTTACATTTTAAAATGACTTTAGGTCGGCACCACCTGCATGGTTTAACGCTGCCAAGCTAATTCCTTAACGATTTTTATGATTACTTCATTGTAAAATGACATTAAATGTTAAAAATATGAACTTAAGCTTTTTCTCCCCAGCACAGAAGTTTTTGCGAACCCGTGCTAAAACAATTTTCAATAAATATTATTATCTATAATCTATGTTCAAGAGGAATTATTCCATACAATTAAATTTTAATTAACATTAATCTGCGTTTCAATATTATAAAATTAATCTGTGCTTACACGCTATTCATTTGAAGAAACGGTAATGTGCGAGGATGTAGAATAATTCAAATATTCTTTGAATTTCACAGCCTATTTGCCGCCGTATACCGCTACAATCGAATGTCGGACGATAGAAATTATAGCGAACTATGCTGAACACTATCGTACGCTAAATTATCGCCGTATCGAATACAGGTGACATAGTGCTTATTGGAATGGCTGAATCTTGAATCTTGTAAATGGCACATGGAGTAGTACATTTCGTGCCTACTCTGAAGCTTTTAATCAGCACGCAGATTGTGCTATTATTAAGGAGAATGGTGATAAATAAATTAATGAAGTAATGCCACTGTAATCCTATTATGAGCCAGTAAAGCACTCAAGAAAACCCGATCCATTGGTTCTGCAGTCACAACACAGTTTTATGTAGACACAATGTATGTTTCAACTTACTCATTGGCAGGATGTGTGTTGTATCGGGCGGCCAGGGAGCGCATAATGTCGGAGTAGTTTCGCGGGGGGTGCACGGGCGCGGGGGGCGGCGCCGCGTGCGGGCTACCGCGCTCTGGCGGCGTGCCCGGGTATGACGACGTCGATGGCGTCACGCTACGGGACCTAAATATGACAGATGCTATGTAAACTCTACTCGGTAAAAAAAAATATTTTTTATTTGTTAGAGATTCATTTAGAATCACTACCTACTTATAGTATATACAATGCCTTTCCGCATTACCACTTTCTACCAGTCAACCGGGAGTTAAGCAATAAAACTTGAGCTAGTGCCATTTCTATCGTAAAACTGAAGTAACAAACGAATTAACATTTCACAGGATGGTAAGTGGCTAACGCAATCCATGGACACCTACAACCAGCTTCAACCAAGGAAGTTTATAGATGTTTTATCTTTGAGGACTAAGATGGAATGCCTAACAGCCAAATTTGATCTATATGGTATATAGAGCCAATTTCACAAACAACACAAACCGGAACAAATCCGGTCGAATGGGTATTCGACCGGAACGCATCACTACAAGCACTGGTATTTGACGTTAGAAATGGATAAGAAAGTGAAACCAGTTCCAGACAGACTCCTAGGTAGAGAAAAAGTCTTATCACGTAGTTTTTGTTATGGGATGAGGGTGACAACCGAGCCCATAGTCCACCTGATGGTAAATAGTTGCTATGACCCATAGACATCTACGTCTATCCTTGACTAAGAATCAAAATGCAAATGCGTCACCTGTGAAAACTAAGATAGAATGCCTTGTTTCCAGTGGGGTCGCCGGTTCTCTTCACTCATCATACGTAGCTCAACAGCATTGAGTTGCTATTCCACGCTAGTATTCTGTGAGACCGTTGGCCTTCCGGTCGAGCCGACCCATTTGTGCTACTAAAATACTACGAATATAGTATAAAAAGCTAAATTATACGACTTAAATAATACAAAACATGGCATGTTTCTATTATACACAATTTGTACAACCGATTTCAATATAAATAAAATTAGAACATCATCAATGTATTCGGAGTCAATTCAATACGCATTATTAAGGATAACTCAAAAATGACTAGTCAAATCTTGATCAATTTATATGGGACCAAATGAAGTACCATCAAATTCAAAGTTTTCAAAAAAGTTCAAATACAAAAATAATCATCAAAATCGGTTAACCGGAGAAAAAAATTCCGTGGTAAAAACACATAAAAAGGGAAAAAACATACAGTCGAATTAAGTACCTCCTCTTTTTGAAGTCGGTTAAAAATTTGAAGTACTAGCTTTAACCTTTTTGATTGCAGTTGATATAGGTGTAATATACTTATTGAAAGTAATTTTTTTATTTAGCACCGGTTCGGAAAATATCCCTGCCCTGTCCTGAGAAGAACCAGCATGAAACCCAGCGGAATATTTTAGACATAAGTTTTTCAATAGCTTTGAACAATTATTTATTTGAATTAAAATAGAATCAGTACGGTAGTTGTTGTTAGTGGACCGAGCGTGTGGTGGTGGTGGAAGAGATTTATCTTATTTTAGAACACTAATCCCACTGTCCAATAGTTCAAGTTTTTCCTTAATTTTAGATTGACTCGAAGAGATCACTCCTTAGCGTTAAGACCGCCTCATATCTCCTAAGCTTAACTACCTTTAATGCGTTTTTTCGTGTTTTGTGGAGTACAATACAGTATGTCCATAACTAGAGGAAGATAATAACCTGGAGGCTGTGGAATCGTGCGGGCTGAGCCGCTCGCTCTTGACGTGGGCAAGCTGCGTGGACGGCGTGGGGTGCGTGGATTGCGTGGTCTGCATAGGCTGCGTGGGCGGCGCGGGCTGCCCGAGGGACGCGGGGTTGGCGGACGGCGCGGGCGCGGGCGCAGGCGCCGGTGCGGGCGCGTGCGCGTGCGCGTGCGCGGGAGACGCCGCGTCGCGCGCGCATCGCCTCGCCCCGCCGCCGCCGGCTTCACCTGCACAGCGGAAACACCTATTGTAATATTTTTATTCAATTCCAAAGACGGCTATAGTTCCGGTTATTTTGGTATCAAAATTTTAATTGAATAAAACTAAATTTACGGATGATATCGCGTTTATTAAACTGATTTTACTTATTTTTAATTCCCGACGTTTCGGGTGCTTTACAGCACCCATGGTCACGGGGGGTACTGAGATATTTGACGTCCCAATGTCATAGTTAGCCCGGCTACCTTCAGTTTTTTAATATTAATTTTTCGATCCGATTTACGCAGTTAGTTTTATTCAATGTATAGTGTTCGCGCAAATTTAAGAAATCATTAAAAATTGTAATTTTGAATTACTTATTGTACAAAGTATGCGGTAAATATAGGTTATTTATAGAGGTAATATTTTTGAAAATTTCCATGTTTACAATACATTTTAGAATTAAACAGCCAAAGATAAACTTGCAGTCAATTAAATAAAAATGCTTCAAATAAATAATATAATGTTGAAAATATTGATAAACCTTTATGATTTAAATCGACTTTGTTTTTGCAAACGAGTACATCTTTGGTAAAGTGTTGTTTGATTCACATAAGGTTTTAAAAAATTAACCTTTAAAGTGTTTGAGGCGCATCTAATTATTTCTAGTGAATTTCTACTTTTTAAGAGCATTTCTATCAACATCATCAAGAATATCTTTGATATACAGATAATAAGTCGAAAATCTTATTCAAATCGTATATTCTCATTTCATTACGTTTGAGTATATTCTTACTCAAACGTAATAAGTGTAATCTCGGAATTGAATTGACTCAAAATAATTGACCTAAACTACGCAAGTCTGAGTTTTTGCTTAAGCTTGCGGGGCTCAAAACTAATTTGTTAATAGGCCACGGCCATAGCATCCAAATATTAGTACATGATAATTAACTGCGAATGGAATGATGATTGAGTAACAGGTTTAGATTTTTTACAAAATTTCTATGTCATGATTTAGATATTTATTTTATAGAAGAGGAGGCAACAAAGTATGCGGCTCACCTGACAGCAACTGATTATCGCCGCCCATAAACATCTAATGTATTGCAGTTCAAGTTTCAATTCCGTAAAATGCTATCATAACCTCTCCAAGGGACAATTAACTTTACCTAGAAAGGCTAACGTATGGCGTGAATCCGGTCGCAAGCGTCTCGTCTTATGCGTAACGGAATAGCAAAAAAAAAAGAGAAGCCATTTTTGTAACAAGTGCGCAAGTTTTTATTGCCCGGGTTCCTTGTAGTTTAGAAAACATGACGTCTTTCTATTAGAGATCTGTAAACATATATTGCCAAAATGTATAAAAAAAGATAAAGTTTTCACAAACGTTGATTAACAGAGTGAAAGGCTATTTAGTTTTGTGAAGTCCAAATAAATATAAATTTGTGAAGCCAAAATGTATAAAAAAAATAAAGTTTTCACAATATATATATATATATCAAAAAAGCCAGCACTTCACAAAACTAAATAGCCTTTCACTCTTTAATCAACGTTTGTGAAACTATCTTTTTTATTATATATATATATATATATATATATATATATATATATATATATATATATATATATATATATATATATATATATATATATATATATAAAGTAAACGTACAGCCTATATACGTCCCACGACTGGGCACAGACCTCCCCTCATTTCTGAGAGGGTTTTAGGACAAGGGAGTGTCCACAGCGCTGCCGTTGGCCGCATGCGTGTTGGCGAACTTCACATGTCTGTGAAATTTTTTTTCTTATTTCTCAGACATACAGGTTTCCTCACGATGTTTTTCTTCATCGCCGAGCACGTGGTAAATCAGCACTTAAAATTGCAATTAACAATTTCATTGGTACCGGCGGGGATCGAACCCGGTTTGCATACGCATACTGTGAATATTTACATCGAGCGCTAACCATTTGAGCTACCGCGGCTCAGATGGTTAGCGTCGGAAATATATGTATGTCTTCACTTATTATTTAATAGTCGCTTAGTACCTGGTGCCTAACCACAAAATGTCCGTTTTTCTTTTAGCATTTTCCTTAGTTGACTCTTACAATCCCCGCAAAAGGGCGTGATGGATTCTCCTATATCGCCGCTATTATACTACATATTGCATAATTTAAAGTAGTATAGTTAAATATCTATATAATCTATCATGACAAACTTGGAAAGTAAAACATTATCTTCGTACAAAATTTAGCCAGATAGTCTCGGTTTGAGCCGTTGTTAGTTGGAGCCTTCTTCGAGAAACCAATACCATATAAATATACATATTATATTTATTTTTAATAATTCAAAAAGTATTAAATAGGTTTGGTTGTATATCGATAAATCAATGATTTGTAAAAATATATTAATCAAACCTTTTTAGACTAAAGCTACGCTAAGTGTGATCAAAATGGTTAAAAAGTTTACCAGTAATATTAAACATTTTGTATACTACATTACAAAAATTATTTTGGTTGCGAAATAACATATAACATAATGTAATAATAACGTATTGCGCAGGCAAGTCCAGTTTATTCCTTTTTGCGTGAAGACACGGAGATTTTTTTGTGTTTCCTCCGTAAACTTTTATGTGAATTAATATAGTTAGAGCCATTTTAGAGAAAGCGATAATAAACAAACTAATATATAAATACTCTTCGTATAATTGTATAGATTTTTAGTAATAATTTATAGTTGCAAAGTATTTTTTTTTTGTGTTGGATATTAAGTATTCACATTTATCATGATATCTTTCGAAGGATACAGAGACGTGTGTTATTTTTACGTAATTCTCATAAATTTGTCAAAATTATCGTCACAAAATAAATCGAAAACTTGATCGATATCTCTACTTGTGTATTCGAATACAAATTCGGTGGAATTACAAAAATTCTTTAAAATTTATATCACTCCGCGACCCTGGCGGCATCTCTGCAGTTACATCGATAGGAATCGAAGCGGCTCGTTTGAAGCCACAGGCTCGCGAGTTTCGCGATACACTTTCCTCCAATCTGGCGGTGCCGTGTTATCGCGAGGAATCAAAGAGCATGCAAGGTGTGACTGTGTCAATCCGGTAAAATAAATTGTGCGTGAACCTGCTGTCAAGGGTTCGTGATTAAACCGAGTATATTTCATTGATGTTATAAATAACTTACATAAACGTAAAAGTTCAGATTTCTAGTAAATGAATAATATTAAGACATATATCCTATCCACCGGGTAGCATAGTAAGAGAGGGACAGCAACAACTTCCTGATAGCAGAGAATATTATTATTACGTTCTACCTACGACGGAAAAGGCCTTTAGCTGTTGAAGAGTCTATTTTAAATTTGACATAAAATTCAAATTTCAAATGTAGATTTATTTTGTTACTAATTAGGCCACTGACGCCATTTTTGAATTTTTTTTAAATGAACATAACCTAGAAGCCGGCAATATTTGTTGTCCACTTACGCAATATATCATTGTGAAATTCGCAGTCTCATAAATTGCCGGTGATGTATGGTGTGAGCGAAGTTGTACGTCACTGTTGACTAAATATTGGTAGTGATTTATAACGCCATTTTAAAGAGCATATAATCTGATATTATTAAGAATGCTAAATTATTAAAATGGTGGCAGTTGTTAATAAGACAAATTAAAAGAAAATAATATGAGTGGTTTTCTAAATGGTATTTTAAAAGAGTACTGATATTATTTCTTTGAGCGTATGTTACTAAATAAGCAATATGTCTAAAAATGATGACATTTCTAAACATCGAGAAAAAAACGCAACTAAGATGGTACTAGATGGTAGAACTACCTTTTTACGTACACCCTCTTACCGTGTTAAGGGTATAAAGCGAGTATAACTTTAGGTTGTGAGACATTCCAGAGATTAGAGGTGGTAATATGTCCGTAGCCTTACTTGTTTGTATTTATTTTTTGTAAAATATCAGTGCCATAGGCTTCTACCCCGTTCACATGTTACATTCTACTTTTTCCTGACAGAAAAAAGGTCATCCAGTATAGTTTACATAAGTAAGTTAAATAATATACTTCCGGCATGCAGCCCCGACGGTGAAACGTTACAAAGAAACGTTACGTTTTTGATTTTTAAGACCGTACTAAATTACTTCACTACGTCGATTCACTTCAAAAAATATAAAAATTGTATTGTTGTAGGTTGCAAAAAAAAAACATTAATGAATATATTTTAAATATTCAAAATATGTAGATGAAATTTATTATCTATTAGTTACGAGGTAACTGTCGGCGAATTAGTTTGTTTAATACTGATTTACTAATTTATATTACTTAATATTAGGGCATATTATTATCTGGTAAGCCAAGAAGTGTTTCTATAATTAATGTCAAAGCTAACATTAAAAGCTTATTTCGAAAGTGATGAGCCCGAAATGTCATATTATTGATTTTTAATTAACATACACTGGACAATTGAAAACCGACCTTAATACAAGTGAACATGAGTTTCTTTACAATAGCCGTTATTAATATGCCTAATGGTTTTACATAATTTCACGTTTAATTCGGTAAAGTTGAAGGTTTTATTAATAAATATTTATACTCCGTGAGAAAATGTTAACAGGATGTGATGAAGTTGTCGCGGCGATCGATGAATGACAGCTTCCGGTCTCAAACTTGTGGGTTAGCTAATCGTTGAACTTTATTAAAGTCTTGCACCGTAGTTGCGTATAGTTATATATTTTAACAGCCTCCTTTAAAAATAAAAAGATATAAAATATGTTCAAAATTTCTAGCTTTTCGGGAAGTGAGTTTAAAATCAATTACTAAATTCGACCCGAACGGATATACCCACGAAAGCGAGTTAATAAAACGTAGTATTATCAAATCAATTAATGGACCCTTTTGAGCACAGCAATAAAATAATAATTAAATCTAAATTAATTATGCAGAAACGCTTTGATATTAATAGCTGCATGCTTAAGTTTTGATATAATTTACTCGTAGTATTAATAATATTTCTAGGTGGTCTATTTATAGCCTAGATATCTTTTTACCCATTTCTTCAGCAAAGTAGTAATACACCCACTGTTTCATCGGAATTTAAGTGTAAGAGGATTAGTATCATACAGGTTATGAGGCATTTCATGTAAGTCTTCAGTGACAATGAATCTGAGTTCATCTTTGTTTCAAGTTACTTAAGACCAGATGTACTTTTAACTTTAATATTTTAACTTAAAAAAATGCTGGCAGGAAATCATCACATCCTGTGTTTTATTCACTCATAGTTACAATTTAGAGAAGGGACACCACTTGCGACACTACGCGACATACGCTTTTCTATACTATTTAAATTATTCTACTTTTTTATTCATTCATTAGAGCGTATAAGAAGCCTGCCGAACATCGGTCTCCTTTACAGATTACCTCATAGTTGGGATATTTAGCATAGTTCCTACATTTAGTAGGTGGGTTGGAAACTGCAGTTTATTTTGAGATATTCTCAGGAAGATGCTGCTGTACATCTCGTGTTTCAATTCCCCTTGTCGCCTCTTACGACATCCACGTGCGACATAGGATAGTGGATAGAATCCACTCTAAACTAAATACGTTAATTAAAAATGGATGCCAAGATCAGAGAAATCATAAGAGACTTATAAAATAAAAATTGATCATTGCACTCGGCGACCCTGTAGAGGCTTTTATGGAACAAGACTCAATACACCTTTGCTTCAACGGAACTGGTACTAATGTGGTGAGTATGTCTACATTGTTTTACAGCTGACGCGTCTGACTTGACACTTACGTTTGTTTTGTGGTACAAAATATTAGCGGTAGCTATTTGTTATTCTTTTATTTTGCCAGGGATGTTCACCATTAACAATAATGGAATTTAGAGGTCCGCTTATTTATACCTGACTAGCGATCCGCTTCGGCTTCGCACGGGGGATTTTTTAATTTATAGACCTCGATAACAGCTCCACCTACCGGGCCCAGTTGTAAATCCAAACGACACAAACACACAAATATTTCATCAGATTCATACTAACGGACATCAATTGATTTTTGTCATCTTTATACAGAGATGTTATTTTTTGTCACATATATTCACGACCTATCACTTGATCAAGTTTATATTACATGTGCTTTTCGTTTTGTCGTAAAACCAGTGCTTGCTTTTAATTTTTTTTATGTTTTTACAATATCTTCAGAAATTTCCGGTTTACCGTGTTGCATTTTATTTACGTGCAAGAATTGTGCCTTTTTTAATTTATTCTTAAAATATGTATAATATATATTATGTTTATAACTATTTTTGAAAGATTTTATTTAATTTCCAGTTTGCTATATTTAATATAATATATTTTAATCACATTTTTTATTTATTAAGGCTTTAAGAACAGAAATAATACTCACTTTGGACTTAAAAAAAACTTTTTATTCGATACGTTTAAAATTATTTGAAAAATAAAAAATATATAAAAAGCTCCGCACTCGTCTTTTGCACACAAAGGTGGTAGGGTCAGCAGCGTCATCAAACAAGGTACCGTTGACAGCGGCACCTGACCCGAATGGCGGCACGTCCTCCAAACAAACTGCCTAAGTGATTGGCACCGTTTACAAATATGTGCCCGAAGTTCATACGCTACGTGATTCTCTTTTAAAGTGATCGTGAACTATGGCTGGAGTACAGTTCACGTAATGACACAACGGAGTAGTATTAGCATTACGGTGTCATGAAAGAGCGCGCTTAATGGGGAAATGACCCTACATAGTAATGTAAAAGTCATACCCGTCCTGGACAGAGATATACAACCAGGATTGAAGAATACACTTAAAATGGTCACGTTTGATAGGCAAGTATTCGAACGCAGTAACAGATATATCACACCGTAGACGCCGCTCCATGTGACTAGTGGAATGTTGTAGTACATTGTATATTGTATAATGTAGTTATTTAGAGTACTTTTACCATCTGGTCACATATACGAGAATCATCACCCAATGTAAAAATACCGTTACTGTTACCGTCGCAGCCTATCAAAGTCCACTGTTTAACAAAGGCCTCCTCCATAGATTGTCTCGTAGAGGGGGGGGGGAGATATGCCATAGTTGCCTCGCTTGGTAAGTGGGTTGGCAACCTTAGTCTATTTTTAATTTTTATATGTTATAAGGAAGACGCTGCTGCTCATCTTCTGGTTTTTTCCCTCTATATATTAGAGAAGTTTAGTAAACTATATATATGTTATTCTTGAGAAAGTCATGTTGTGCATCCAATTATTTGGTTGTAATCACAAAACGATTGTAATATATTGTGTGTGCCCAAAATATAAAATAAAATTTCGATAACGTATGAGGCAACAATGAATATTGCCAGAAAGATCTTAAAGCTTCGGGTAAATTAAATTATAATCATGTCTTCATTTCAGGCGTGAAATATCCGATGAGGGTAGGAGTACCCTTAACCGACGAGCATG